TGAAACAGTTTCAAAACCAGCAAAAAAGAAAAGTAGAGCTTGAGCAACCATTAAGTCCTCTGTGAGTTTCATTTGTTTGGTGTTTTTGCCAATGTRGGATTCTTCAACGGTGGCAAAACCATCACCACCTTCGTTGTTGTTATCATGTTTGAGTTTGCCTTTTCGAGCTTCCATTAGAAGATGAATCAAATCTGGACGAATAATCCCTTCTTTTTCTCGTTTATGTATATTGTCAACAAAAATATTTCTGAAGAAATTTACAACCTTTGAATTAAAAACGGATAATTTAAAAATCTGAAACTTGAATATTAAGCATTTGTTGATACAAAATCGCTGTTAATTACCTCAAAAATTTGAGGAATTAATTGCGCCAAAAAAAACTTTATTAGTGTAAAACTTTTGAACGAACTCAATAATTTTCCCATCAAATAAAATTCGTTATTACGTTCTTCCAAAGAATTAGTTTGGATCCCAAATGCTGCAGTAGCAATCACGTCGGTAGCAAATTTTGCGAAAATGTCCTTCACATTTACATCTTGCTTTTTGGTCTGAAAATGCTTGGCAAAATTTTCAGCACATTCGTAAATCAAATGGTACATATTTTTCATTTTACTGCTGGTAAAAACTGGGCTTAGAGTTGCTCTCATTTGCTTCCATTCTTCTCCTTGTAAAATAATTAGACTTTTACTGAACAAGGGGTCTGTTTTAATACCATCTGTAGCAAGATGGTCGCGGAAATTATCAAAAACTTTCACTCCAATTTGTTTAATCAAATCCAAGTCTCTGATACAGAGAGCTGGATTTCTGAATTGCATGTAACCCACGTATCTATAAAAAACACAATTCAAACTTTAGTGATTAATAAATTAGGAAAACACACCGGTCATTTGGATATTTCTTGTAAATATCAGAAGGTATTTCACCAAAGTTTTTCTTTTGAATCACAGAATCCCACATACTTCCTACGAGAGGCCATGCTGACACATGGGTGATGTTTCTTTCTTCCCAAAAATTTGCCGGTTTTATTAATTTATAATAAATAAGAGCACCCAAAATCACACTCAGAATTATAGTCAACATTTTGTTAGAGACTGATTCTCTGCAGGCGCGAGTTGCTTATTTATAGTGTGCTATCACTGTTATCATGAATTACTAGTTGGTGAATCAAAATATAGAAAGATAAGAAAATTAAGAGAGTAAAACATTACGAGTATTTCTGTTTTTCTCTCTGCCACCGGAAACAAACATCAGAAATAATTAACAGTATTTGTAGTGGCTAGATTTTTTATCAATCAACTGTAAAAAATAAATGAATCTAGAATTCTATTTGCCACGTAAAAAAAAATAGTAAAAACATTTTAAGCCATGTTTTTTTCAACAATTAAAAAATAGAGCTTGAGCTCATGTCAAAAATGAGTACAATAAGTTCAGGCAATACTTAAGAAAAAACCAGGTTTCTTATTTTTTTATTTCAAAAATATTTTTTAAAGAAATCTGTAACTTGAATATAAAGCATTTGTTGATACAAAATTGCTGTTAATCACCTCAAAAATTTGAGGAATTAATTGTGCCAAAAAAAACCTTATTAGTGTAAAACCTTTGAACGCATGATTTTCCCATCAAATAAAATTCGTTATTATGTTTTCCCAAAGAATTTATTTTTATCCCAAATGCTGCAGTAGCAATAACGTCGTTGGCAAATTTTGTTTTTTGTTTTGAAAATGCTTTGTGAAATTTTCAGCACACTCGTAAATCAAATGGTACATGATTTTCATTTTACTACCGGTAAAAACTGGGCTTAGAGTTGCTCTCATTTGCTTCCATTTTTTTCCTTGTAAAATCATTAGACATTTACTGAACAAGGGGTCTCTTTTAATACCGCAAGATGGTTGCGGAAATTATCAAAAACTTTTACTCCGATTTGTTTAATCAAATTCAAGTCTCTGATACAGAGAGCTGGATTTCTGAATTGCATGTAACCCACAAATCTACGAAAATCACAATTTAAGCATTAGTGAGTCAAAAAATTAAAAAAACACACCGGTCATTTGGATATTTCTTGTAAATATCAGCAGGATGTTTCTTTTGAATCACAGAATCCCACATGCTTCCTACGAGAGGCCATGCTGACACATAGGTGATGTTTTTTTCTTCCCAAAAACTTGCTGCTTTTATTAATTTGTAATAAATGAGAGCACCCAAAATCACACTCAGAAATATAGTCCACATTTTGTTACAGACTAATTCTCTGTAGACGCGAGTTGTTTATTTAGTGTGTGTTATCACTGTTATCACGAATTACGAGTTGTTGAATCAACGAGTATTTAGGTTCATCTCTCTGCCATCGGAAAAAAACATCAGAAATAAATAATAGAATTAGTAATGGCTAGATTTTTTATCGATCAACCTTTTAAAATAAATGAATTTGCAATAATTTTAGTTGTCACGTAATAAAAAAAACACTAAGGATTATAATCAACATTTTGGTAGACTGATTTTCTATAGCTGCGAGTTGCTTATTTATAGTTTGTATCAAGAGATGGTGAATGAGTACAATAAGTTCACGGGATGCCTATAATAAAAATGTTTTTTATTTTGTCATTTATTTTAACTTTTTTATTACATTTTGATCATATCATCTATCTGGGTTTGAACGTAAGGTGGATCCCTTCTTTTGGAGTAATATTTCCATTATTTGGACTTATTTTGAGCGGAATTACTGTTTTGCTGTTTGTTACAATATCACATTTTGATAATAAGTGGAAGAATAGAGTTTTTATTTCCAACAAAGCGAATCTCGAACCTAAAATTTAAGTCAAAAATCTTTCAATAATTTTTTTTTCTAATCTACCAATGCAATTTCTTGGGCCAATACCAAACGGCATGTACGTRCCTGGCACAATTTTTGCTTTATTTTCGTCACTAAACCGTTCAGGATCAAATTTATCCGGATTTGGAAAATATTGAGGGTCCCGATGTATTCCATAAATTGGTATAATAGTTGTCACACCTTTTTCAATAGTAAATCTTCTTTCGTGTGSCTTGATTGGCTCAATTACAAAGTCGGTGTTGCAAAAACGATCAGTTTGCACAGCGGGAGGCCAAAGTCTTAAACTTTCTACACGAAAAATTGTAAAAGAAACAAAGACAGTTGGAGGTACTCACCACACACGACTTGGTCGAGATATTTCATCGATTGTATAACATTGTATGAAATTTTCCCTTGATTTTCCTTAAGTATAAAGTCGATTTCCGTTTGCAGTTTTTTTTGAATGTCAGGATTAATGGCCAATTCATATGATAGAAAACTTGCACCAGTTGAAARAGTTTCAAAACCAGCAAAAAAGAAAAGTATAGCTTGAGCAACCATTAAGTCCTCTGTGAGTTCCATCTGTTTGGTGTTTTTGCCAATGTCGGATTCTTCAACTGTGGCAAAACCATCACCACCTTCATTGTTGTTATCATGTTTGAGTTTGCCTTTTCGAGCCTCCATTAGAAGATGAATCAAATCTGGACGAATAATTCCTTCTTTTTCTCGTTTGTGTATATTGTCAACAAAAATATTTCTAAAAAAATTTATGGCCTTTGGATTAAAAATGGATAATTTAAAAGTCTGAAACTTGAATATTAAGCATTTGATGATACAAAATCGCTGCTAATCACCTCACAAATTTGAGGGATTAATTGTGCCAAAAAAAACTTAATTAGTGTAAAACCTTTGAACGCAGTCAGTGATTTTCCCATCAAATAAAATTCGTTATTACTTTCTCCCAAAGAATTAATTTGAATCCCAAATGCTGCAGTAGCAATCACGTCGTTGGCGAATTTTGCGAAAATGTCTTTCACATTAACATCTTGCTTATTGTTTTGAAAATGCTTGGCAAAATTTTCAGCACACTCGTATATCAAATGGTACATGTTTTTCATTTTACTGCTGGTAAAAACTGGGCTTAAAGTTGCTCTCATTTGCTTCCATTCTTCTCCTTCTAAAACCAACAGACTCTTACTGAACAATGGGTCTGTTGTAAAACCAGCTATAGAAAGATGGTCGCGGAAATGATCAAAAACTTTCACTCCTATTTGTTTAATCAAATCCAAATCTCTGATACAAAGAGCTGGATTTCCAAATTGCATGTAACCCACGTATCTAAAAAAGTCACAATATCAACTTTAGTGAGTAAAAAAAAATGAAAAACACACCGGTCATTTGGATATTTCTTGTAAATGTCAGCAGATATTTCACCAAAATTTTTCTTTTGAATCACAGAATCCCACA